CCGTAGTTGTTGGTTTCAGAGATCGATATATTGAATGGACAGAGAAAAAGGAAAAAAAATTTTATCGAATGCATTGTATATTGACATGATACTCGATTCCTGTTTTAAAATATTTCATTGAACATAGATTGCTCGATCCAGACGTATTTCAAACAAAGCAAAAGAATCATCTACTAATATTACTTCTCAATCGACTATCGATAATACTGTTGCAACACAACAAAAACCTTCTGTTCATTCCCATCAGCAAGAGTTGTTACAATTAGACGATTCTACGAATGATCAACAATGGCATAGAGTTAGTTCTAATAAAGGACAACGCAGCAAAGGAACTACAATTCGACGGGAGACGGTTGATGAAAGTCAATCAACTAATAAAATGATCAAAGTATCATCAACTAATTCTGGTAAATATTTCTGTTCGTATATGAATAATATGTGTTATGTGAACAGAGTTGTCATTAAATTTTCTTTGTCTTGCTTTGTTTGATGTTGTTTTGCATCGGCTTATTTTATAGAAAATCCAAGGACACTATCATCATCATCATCATCACATAAACACAATTCTGTTTCACATGAAACAACACAGTCGCATTATCATCCATCACGACACCGTTCTGCTCGTGATCCATCGACCACACCAGTTCCTATTTTAACAGAAAAAAAAAGTTTACCGCTTGATACATCTTTAATTGCTACTAATCGAGAACTGACATTACGTCAGTTAACGGAACACTTATGGACAACTCGACTACCGTCATCAAGGACGGCATGTTCGATGTCTATACGTTCACGTTGTTCATCAGCACCAACATTTGAATGTGGTGGTGTTCAGAATAAAGCAACAAAAACTGGTCGGAATGATAGTGAAAAAGTAGAAAATATCGATTGGGATGAACCAGATATGGCTGATGAGGGTAATTCTAGCTGCTTTTATCCCTGCTATTTTATTATTAATAACGCTTGGTTTGGTAACTGATATATAGTCAATTTTAAAGTATATATGCTACTGATTATATATATATTAACATAAACGCTGTCTGTTCTGTCCTATATCTCGAGAAATGAAAAACATAGAAACAAAAGTGATGAAACGAACATAAATATTGATGTAATTATTTCAATTTTATTAATTCAAAACGAATATTTTCATCAATTTGATTCCATGATTTTGATGAAATATTAAGGTTATTACATTTGCTTGATTGAAACATCCGTTTTAATCAAAGACATTGATATACATCAATTTTAATGTCTATTTCATCATCTGAAATGACTTTTTTTTCGTATTTTTAATATAAAATTCATAAAAACCATAATTTTTTTCTTTGCTTTCTTAACTCTATGTATGCCTTTCAATAGTAGATTAATTATAGCAGATAGGAAGGACGAAATTGTTTTTTTTCTTTCCATTTTTTTTTGATTCTGTATTGGCGTTGATTCAAAAACAGAGACTGTGTTGATTGGTACATGGATGTTTTTTTTTGTTTTCATTTGTTTTTCTTTGCGTTCTCTATTTGTAATTACCCAATATGATAGTATAAAACGCAATGTTTTATCCGAGAAAATACTGAGATCATCCAGAGAATCGAAGGAAGTAACATAAATTAATTAATCGGTTATACTTAATAAATTTTTTAAAATTTAATTCTTCTCTGCTATTTAACATTTTTAAACGTATATTTAATTTTAAAAAAATCTACTATTTAACATGCTTAACTTAATGTCTTTTTCACCATCGAGTGAGTTAAGATTTTGAATAAAATCATTTAATTGATTATCTATTTAAGATTTTGGTCGATATGCTTCACAAACAGAATATTCTATCGATGAATTAAATAATATTAATGAACGTACACAAACACAACGAAATCTAACAACTAATAATATTCCATCACTTATGTCATTATCAATAGCACCACCAATCATAACGAAAAATATTCAAGATAAATCAATAACATCTTCATCTGTCATCAAAGAAAAGTATGATTTGAAAAAAACTTTTCAAATATTATTCTTGAACGAATAAATATCAGTTAAAAACTTGTATGATGAAAGAATATTTTCATCTGTTGAACATTATTCGACATCATATTTTAGTAAGAAGTACGTTTTAAAGTGCTGTGAAATACTTATAAAATTATCCTCTTTGCTTTATAGTAACAATAAAGAGAAAATATTATTTTAATAAAAAGAATCTTTCGAAATCAAAACTGCAAGTTTTTCATATTAAGATAATTCAAGTTTCGGTTCATGTGAACAAACTCGTCGAGTTCTATGGAATTTCAACAATTTACCCGATGTTTGTTAGAATCTTTACAATAAAAAAAAGAAGATTGTTGAAATTCTGATTTACCAATGAGTCATAGTAGAATGAAGTTATCTATGAGATAAGATTATGTGCAAGGTGAAAGTCGTACGTAATCTATCGGATTCGCTGATTAGTATGCTCACACATATAGACTTGACTAAGAATCAGAATTAACATAAAAAAATGCGACTTAGATAACGAAAAAGTGTCAATTAGACAGTAATAGAACGAGTCTTCTTGACATTTAAGAGAATTTTTTTTTTACTATAATCTTATTTTTATCAATGCACTGACTGTTGCCTCTTAAACTCATATAATCTATTGTGAAGCTAGATTTAACTAATTCAATGTCAAGATCAGGTTCGGATCTAAATATATAGTGTAGAAATCTCTTTGAGAATCTATACTTGTGTATCTTCCAAACACTTAGCAATAGAAAAATATTTATTCGATTTCTATAAAAAATAATTTTTCTTGAATTTTAGTATTGAACCATTACCATTTCCACAACATGGATTAGGTCCAATTCAACGACCAAATAAACTCCCATGTCCATCAACTATACAATCATCATCATTTCTTAGTGATTCTATTCAATCACCAAGTACACCTGATGTACTCGTTCAAATAAATCATCTTCTTGATCATTCAAATAGTATAACAACAATGGCATCAACACCAAATGTTCCTATTCTAACAGATTCATCAACAATGATCAATGAAATTTCAACACCAAATGTTTCATGGACACCATTTTCACCAACAGAATGGTCATCAAAATATGATTCATCATGGCCAACAACAAATCTTCAAAGTCCAAATATTTCTTTAATAAAACAAATACAAAATCCATTTTTACAACAACAAATATCAAATGAAGAATCATCGGTTTGGTCATCTGCATTAGAAACAGCAACACCAAATTCGGTACCATCAAGTGCACATAGACAACCTGCTTCGGAATGGCATGAACTTTTTTCATCGAATGTTTCTTCATCAACTCAAATAACAAAATCAACAAATAATTCTTGGTTAAAATTTTTCCCAGTATCTGATCCATCTCCAGTCGATAGTATAACATCAAATAGACAAGAAAATGAAACAAATAATCCAGTAAGTTTATTTATTTTGAATATCAATCAATATATGAATCATTCTAGTTTTGGAATCTAATCAATTCAAATGAAACACAACAAAATTCATCAGCATCATGGTGGCCTAAAACATCATCCTATGAAAATGATAATGATAATGATCAATCTCGATGGGATTTTGCTCGTTAAATATGTTTGTTTGTTTGTTTTTCATATTCTAACATTCATAAAAGAAAAAAAAGCTGTTAATCAAGACGAATTGTTTCTAACCGATTTTTTTAAAGCTTCCATTTACTAATTATGAATTTTCTTTGCTCATAAAATTGTTATGGAACAATAAAAGATGCGCACTTATTGTCAACAGAAATAAAATAAAATACAAAAAAAATAAATATTTTATTCTAGAAAAATGCCATCAACACATATTGAACGTTATATACGTTCTATATTTGTGCAAAATATACCAGCTGGTATAACAGAAGATCTTTTTCGGCAAATGTTGAGTCAATTTGGAGCTTTAATTCATTTTCATATGTTTCTTGATCCAAATGCAGCAAATAATACAAATGAACAAAATATACAAACACCAAGAAGTTATGCTTTTGCTGAAGTAAGTTTTAGCAATTTTTTTATATTATTCATGATTACAGACGGATATACAATCTTGATAAGAGAGAAAAAGATAATCATTGTCATACAAAAAAATTCTTATCTGACACTTATTTAGAATGGTTTCAATTCAGTTTTACTGAAGAAGATCAAAAAGATTTTCAATCGTTATTGTATATGAGTCGAGAAGATAATAAGGAATTACTGGAATTTATTATATTTATTATTTGATCATTTTTAAGATATTTCAGTGTTCTATCTGGATTTTCTCTTACTGAAGAATGATTCAAAACTTCACACAAACAAGTATCTATTGTTAGAAGCACAGGATTATAGCACTTAGTACAATAACCGCAGATTTTGGGAGAATCAATACGATCTTCGGTGAAGTGTTGCCCTGTCGGTCCTCACACCGGATAAAGCAATGAGATATTGTTAGTGTAAAGTGTCCCGAAAACATGGCTTCGAAAATCTCTTACTGTTGTTCTAGTGTGAAACAATAAATTTTTTCATCAGAATACAAAATATGCCTATCTCTAATCAATATTTCTTTCGTTATATATATTTCTAGTTTGCATCGAATGAAATTGCACAAAAGGTTATTAATAAATTAAATGGACTTGATTTGGGTGGTTTTCGACTTGTTGTTGATTTACTTTCTAATCAAGCTGAACCAATTATAAATTTATTTGAACAATTTTGTTCTACAAAAACAACAGTTACATCGTCAAATAAAAATGATCCTCGTCTTGCTAATACAATAATATCACAAAGTTCTCAACCACCATCAGCACAGTTATCCTCAACAACAACGACTGAATCAGCAAATATGAGTGCTACTATGAATGCAACAAACAATACTACTACTACTAATAATAATAATAATAATAAAGAAGAACGTGAATCAATTTCAAATGCTGTTGCGTCATTACCACCAGCTCAAGTTAGTTATTAAAGTACATTAAATAATTTATTTATAAAATTTTTTTTCTTGTTAAATAGATGTTTGAATTAATGAAACAAATGAAACAATGTATTGAAGCAAATCCAAATGAAGCTAAAACACTTTTATCAACAAATCCTCAATTAGCATATGCTCTTTTACAAGCACAAGTTGTTATGAGAATAGTCGATCCTCAAGTAGCAATGGTATTACTTAATCGTACTGATAAAGATGTTATACCAGCTCCTACTGATGTTAAAAAACCACCAACAACAACAGCACAACCAACAGCAGCAGCTACTGCTCCACTTCCACTTCCAGTTACAGCTAATCCAACTGCTCCATTTCCTTTTCCAGTCATACCTGGTGCTCCATTTTCAATGCCTATGATGGCTCCTAATGCTGCTACTGCTCAACAAGCTGCAGCTACTGCTCTTTTTCAAGCAGCTCTTCTTTCAGGTGCTGGAATGTTTCCTGGTTCATTAATACCACCACCTATGCAACATGCTGCACCATTTCCACCTGTTCAACCATCATTTCCACCTCAAATAAATCCTTTAGCACCACCAATACGTACACCAAATCTTGATGAGAATGCTGCGTTACTTTTATTACAATTAGATGATGCTCAATTAGCACAATTACCACCAGCACAGAGTATGCAAATTCGATCATTACGTGAACAAATTGCTAAAACTGGTTTATTACCTAAAATGTAGTTCATACTTTTCTTTTTGGTGTTCTTCTTTTTTGTTTGTTCTCATAGAAATAAAGAAAAGTCGTAAAATTAAAACATATTTTCATTGATGAAGAATAGACTTTATTGATAGTTGAATATTCAACTTTCATGAGAGTATATTCGACATTCTATCAAATCATTAATGATCAAAGTAGAATGACATAAATTCAAAGATTTGCTAGAAATTCAAGTTATCTCAAACGTAGCTTTTCATTTCGATAACTCTGTTCAATACTTTTTTTTTGAAAATCAACAAAGCAAGTATCTGGTATTGAACAATTTTGCAGGAATGAATTAATGACATTTCTATTAAATCAAACGGATGTTATTGGTCAGTCAAATATATTTAACATGTATTCGTACAATCGTTTTTTGTGTGTTATTAAAGTACCTAACTCTAATTCGATCACAAAATTTTATCTTTCAAAAAAAAAACTTCATAACTTCTTTTCACAACGTCTGTTCGAACTAGTTTGTAGTTTCAGGGATAAAGTAAACATTTCTCTATCTTTTCATCGATTATTTATTTTAAATTAATTAGTCCTTAATGAGCAATAACCGTTACAAAAATTGATGAAATAATTAGGGGTGGGACTTTACCTTTACTTTACTAGTAACTAAGTAACTACCATAGTTACTTATTTACCAGTAACTAGTAACTACATAGTTACTTAGTTACTAGTAAATAGTAACTACATAGTTACTTAGTTACTAGTAAATAGTAACTACATAGTTACTTAGTTACCAGTAACTAAGTAACTACATATTTACTTAGTTACTGGTAACTAAGTAACTACATAGTTACTTAGTTACTAGTAACTAGTAACTACCCATGTAAAAAAAGGTAGGCAAAAACCAACTATTTAGTACCTTCAAAAGTAGATTTTAAATAAGAAAAAGTACTTGTAAGTGAACCTTTTTAAATACTTTTCATACTTTTTGACCAAAAAATACTATTGAAAGTGTGAAAAAGTGATGGAATTCACTTAGAAAAATGAAAAAAAGTAATAACACTTAATTTATTTTTTTGTGTTGATAATAGAAGTACTCAAAAGTATTTTCTTAAATAAAATATACTATAAAATACTATTAATATTAGTACAGAAAAATAAACTAATTTTTATTACTTTTTTTACTTTTCTAAGTGACTTCTGTCACTTTTTCACACTTCCAATAGTACTTTTTAGTCAAAAAGTATGAAGAGTACTAAAAAAGGTTCACTTACAAATACTTTTTCCTGTTTAAAATCTACTTTTGAAAGTACTTAATAGTTGGCTTTTGCCTACTTTTTTTTACATGGGTACTAACTACTATAGCTACTTAGTTAATAGTAACTAGTAACTGCTATAGTTACTTTTCTCAAGTAACTACTCGAGTTACTTAGTTACTAGTAACTACTTCAATATTACTTTTTAGTAAGTAAATGAATATGGCATTTATGTATTCATTGATTTTAGTTTCACCCGTCTGATAGTGTTCATATAATAATTAATGAAGTGACTTTAACGATAAATAAAAAGAGGGGTAAGATGACAGACTAGAGGAGTAGCTTACTGCCACCCTCGGTAATGATGTTTATTAGCTACTTTACATCTCTAGAATGTGTCTATTGCACATTCAACACACGCTTATACATGATAGAGAAACAAAGAGAGAGACGTCACTGAGAGAACAATAGAGAGAGAAAGAAGAAAGAGGAAGAGCGGCGAGCCGTGACGCATATATCGGCACAGTGACATACGTTGAATTCCATCAATGTGCACTGAAAAAAGGGTACACTACTGAACCTTCGAAGTCCCGTAGAATTTCACCAAATCTGGCTTGGTATCATGCGACTTTGCAGAACTTTCAAGAGGTTTCGGAATGAACTAAGTTTCATGAAAACCTTAAAAGAGTATTTTTCTTGTCAAGGGTTTCGTATATAGTATTCACTAAACGTAATTTGGTCAAGAGTTTTCATGAAAAACTTTAAAAAGTTTATCGGTGGGCCACCATGATGACAAGGTATGGCGGTTGCCATACCAAAAATTTTTATTCCTTATACACTTTCCTGTACGTCCGTTCTTTTCGATCCAACCTTTAATCGAGAGCCAGGAAAAAGAAAAACTAAGTCCAGAAGTGACTTTTGCTCTTGCATAGAAGCATCTTCAGATACGGTTGTTTTACCTATTTTTTTCTAGAGCTGAGGTGAACATTGATTATTTATTTGTCCATTTTTGGTTTTTATGGAATTTAAAAGCGTCTGTGAGATAGTTTTTTAATTAAGAAAAGAAAGATTAGGTAAAGCCTTATGTTTTCAAGCATATTTGATTCATACTCTATTTTTTGAATATTATGCTTTCCTATTGGTTTCAAAATCAGAAAGAACAAGGTCCATGCAGACTCTATCGGCGGGTCCCCAGCATGGTAGGGTGTGGCAGTTGCCATAGCAAAAGTATTCAAAATGAACGATAGTTTGACAAAAATTGATCCCTAACACGATTTTCCCCAGCTATTATCACACCAAATATTTTGCTGCTGGTTCGCCAATGAAAAAGTTGTTACTATTGATAAGGTTTCGCGAAACATCAATAGTAATCATATAATGGTCAAGACGTTTCTCATGAAATCCAACTTCTTTCTTCGATCAACTATAGCCCGAGGACATGTTCAGCAACAGCATCTTCGACGTACCACACTTCACTCTTCAACTCACTCATTTACAGCATCACGAAAATCGTCCACCAGAATCAAAGGACACCGTTCAACTTTCGTATTTCTTAGTACAAAACTTTAGTGTTATGCTTTCGAACGAAATTTTATGCACAGATGAAACAGATTATACAACGCGGTAAGGTACTAAAAATAGTAAAAGACAGCTTGAAGATACAAACAAGACTTCAAATTAAGGAGTAACACATTTACCATGAACATACAGTTTCAAGTTTATTTGTAAAGTATGAAGAATCGAGGTCAGCAGTTAGACATTAAAATACGAGATTCAGGATTGCTTTAAGGAGTACAATATAGATATGCAGTGTTAATAATGGTCATAAAAAATAAAACATAACGAAGTGCTTTAGGATAAATAAAATAGTTTAGATTCTTAAATAACGGGTTGTGCACACAATTATTGCTCTGTACACAAAAACAGGCGTTGAGGAGATGTGTAAAGATTTGGATTTTGCAATAAACTGCTCAATGTAAAAATAAGGGCTTAGAGACGTAGATATTTTGGCCTACGCATGGTCTGAAGGAATAAGATACATATATGAAACTTTCAATACTGAAATAATAAGTTTGATATAAAAAGCAGTGGTGAACGATTGATTTAGCAATTTAAAGTTAGCAGTGAAGGTTAAGTATGGATTTAAAGGTGCAGATTTAGACATTTAAGGAGAGATTTTCGGATTTAGATTCAACATTAGGGATGAGCAATCGATTTGAGGATATAGATTTAGCAACGAGGAGAGCAAAACAATTTAGGAAAAGACTGCTGCGGAAGGATTAAGAGAATTAGGTTTAGGAGTAAGGGTTAAGAATACATAAATGGAAGGGAATAAATTCAGAAAAAGAAGGTTCAAAAATGAGTAAGGGAGTTAAATCTACAGGGGAAAAAATGGTATGAACATTAAACCAAACAGGTTTCGTACTTGCTGCGGGACTAAAAAATATTTTCGCACATAGTATGAAACCCAAAAAAGTTTTCGATTTTTGAAACGAATTCTGAACTTTTTTTGAATTTCGTAGAAGATCGACGGTGCCTCTGAAAAAGATTCCTAGACCGCTGAAAATCATTTTGAAGGTAACTTGGGTTCATACAAAGCCTTTTTAAAGGTTTTGATTTTTGAAATAGAATGGGCCGACAAGGCACCTATTTTTTTCCAGTGTACAAATAGGAGTGAAGGACCAATTCCAGGGGAAGATTTCGGAATCAATGATTAACGGATAGATTTGCATGTGTAAATGTATTAGTAGAACACTGAGTCTAGTACGAGAACCGTGCTGCAGAACCTTTTTATATGAAATACAAGAAGAAGAATCTGTACGGAACCTTGTTTGTACGAAATCTGACAGGAACTTCGGCTTTGTTTCAAGAACCGAAACCCTTGCACGGTTTTGCGTGTTACCTTATGTTATTTTCAGTGTAGATGGCTTATTAAAGTCAGATCGATCAGCTCTCATTAGAGATCGCTTCAAATAGTTTCTTAGATCAAAACTATTACCGAATTCTTATACCTTTGCTGCATACTACATTTAATATTTGATATAAACTATAGGAATAGGTTGGCATTGGTTGGAATAGGTTAGCAGTTAGTCAGATATTGGTCTAGAATTGATCAGGATTGGTATTGATTAGGGGTGAGCCTGTCACTATTCTAATCCATTACTAAGCCACTTACATTGAGGGGTGTTCATTTTGCTATAGCGTTAGGCTTTTCGCTAAAGAATGGTTTTTGTTGAGAAAAGAATAACTTTCTATAAAGCTTAACCGAATGTGACAATGCAGGTTAGGCTTGCCTAATATTTTGTCTCTCTCACGCACTTTGTCCTTATGATGCACTTTATTGTTGCTCTAAACTTTGTTCTTATCCTATAGTATATTATTCACACCGTTATATTGTGATACTTGCTTAGTTTTGATGCATAAGCACATAAAACGTAGAAACATTTGTATGAAAATGAGGTTTATGATACCAATAAGTCGAATAAAGTGTAATTTCACTTCCACTAACCCTTCTTCTGTCTAGAAAACGTCATACCGAAGGTAACTGCAGTCGAAAAATCTGAATCGGCAATCAGATTTTCAAAATTCTAAACTAAATTTTTTCCAGCAAGGAAGAGTTTTTAAGAAAATTATCAGTTTTTATGAAGTTGAAGCATTGGTAAATGGCACAAGTTTATCTGACCAGGAAACAAACTTCAAAATTGTGAGAATCGGATTGCAGATTGCGATTTCTGCACCCTGATAACCTTCGATAAAGCCTTATATAAATCGTT